GGCCTTGACAACTTTGTATCGTTTTAGTCGTTTACATATTTTAACGACAAAACATTGTTTTGGTGAAATAATCCATTTATTTTTTATAATAATCTATTAAGGAGGTCCTAATTAAACACCTGAAATGGAGGGTTATTGCACGGACACACTCACATTCACGTATCAAAACGTCTGCATTGTCCTGACTAAGCATGGGACAAAACCACAGTGAACTGTGATTTATCTTTCGTTTTTTTCCCTATGTAACCTACGTAACTGCCTATCAGCCTTCATTTTTGCATATTTAACAGTAAATCTAGTATTTAATATTAATATGTAGGTATGCTAGCTATATGTAATAAAATAATTACTAGATTTACTGCAAAATAGGGTATTTATGCATCGTTTGTACAGCTTAAGTAGCAACTCTAGTCTACGTAGGAAAAAATCCATTGATAAATCACAGTTCACAGTTATTTTTTCCCATGCCTAACTTCCACTATAATTTTAAGGCCCACTTACGTAATAGGGGTCCAGTCTTTTACCATCAACCGGGAACTTCAGGAATTAGATGGGAAAATTTAGATTTAAAAGTATTTTGAAAGGAAAGGACCTTTCTATATACATATATAGAAGGGAAGACAAAGGCAAGGAAGGATTTGCATCTACGGATGGATTGGGGAATTTTCAAGCAGATCAGGGCCTCACAAATAATTTTCGAGTTTGTTGAACTAGGGCTATATTTTAGGATTGACAGGTGACATTCAATCAAACAGTATTATAGAATTCATCGGTCATTAATTCAACAATTGTTGTTTGCTTCACAGACAGTGATTCACTGTTCAACTACCTACAGATTACTTTTGATACTTTTGATGATAATTAACGGATGAAAATGACTCGGCATTTTTCGTGAACTTGAACCCCCACTTTACATTATATTCAGTTAAACTAACACACACTTTGTTTTTAACCGACCTCCAAAAAGGAGGAGATTCTCAATTCGTCGGATTTTTTTTTTCACCGATTACTCGAAAACGCCTGAATCGATTTGGAAAATTAATTTTTGGTTTAAAGGGTATACTTCTCAGGTGGTTCCATTTAAATCTTTAATCAGTAAAGCGGTTTTTGAAAATCTAAAAATGTATACATCGATGATATTTGCTGTCTCATTGGAGCAGTGCGTTTAGTTGGTCTTTTTGTTAGTATTGTTTGAAGTCGGTTCAACTTTTTTCCAAAAAGATTTTATTACTATATCGATACAACACTGATGGGACGTAAACACTTACGAGTTCAAAATGATGAAGTAGGTATGTGGTTCAAACAGTCTTGGATAAGACCACAAGACATAAAAGTATTAAGAATCCTTAGTTTTATATCCATACCATGTCGATAATATCAATTCTTCTACAGTTTCTCGAACACAAAATACAACTTACACATCCTTTTTGTTGGCAAACCTATTTTAATGTTTTTAAGGTGGGGGGGGGGGGGGAACTGTTCAGTAATAGCCAGTTCGAGTTACAGGCAATGGACCCTGATCTTCTAAAGTTATTGCCATCACTATTCAATTCGATATAAGCGATTACCTCTACTTTCGTTGTATTTCCATCTAACTCACTACTGCACTCCTAGGTTTTGTTTTTTTTATGGTATAAGGGGCAAACGAGCAGACGGGTCACCTGATGGTAAGCAACTACCGCCTGGACACCTGGAACTCAAAAGTCACAAGTGCATTGCTTTTCTTTAGCAGTCAGACATTCTACATACCTTATTCAGCAACCTTCGTGAATATTGTATCTTTATCTGTAGCGGATTTTTCTCAAGGAACTGTACACAAGGCTGGCTTTATCTCTGACATGTTCACACGCTTTACTAATTGAAATATATTTTTTTACTCGTCGCTGTGTGTTCGTCCAATGAGAAGAGTCGATTGATTAACAACGCGATGCCCGAGCTCGTTGGTAAAGTACCGAAGTTCGGATTCGGGATGAATGATTGACCGGACTCATAAGAAGTAAACTTCATGCACAACATGGTACATGGTATTTGACGAACAAAAGTTAATTTATACCAGCCCACAGACAACAAGAGATAATAAAAAGGTTCTATGTAATTGATGTTGTTGGTTGACATTGTTATTATAATTATTAATCATAGACATCGAGACAAATACAAGCTTTAAAAATACTTGAAGAATCATTCACTTAAACAAAAATAGAACTATAGAAAGGAAAATCGTCAATCATGCATTGTTCGATCATTGTCATAAATGGTATTTATGTTCGTTCACAAATATTCAATTAAGGCGTTAATTAATTAACTAATACCGCCGTGAACTAATGGGCGTTGATGAAAACAATGAGGCGAGAACATTTGTAACAATCTGTGTAAATAATATGACTTCTCTATAACTAAAACACACACGCGCATACATACAGACAGTTTATTTTAAGCATGATGACAATAACCCGAGTTTTGTATGAGTAATATCTTTTCTCTCGGTTTCCTGCGATCTGTGAGAATGATTTCGTGAAGAGGGACGGAAATGTTGTTACAGGAAGCCGGGGCAGGCATATAATTTGACCAATGAGCGCGCGGCGCTATAGTTGGCTGTCATAATGAGATGTCAGATGTTACACATCATATATTGTAATGTTCGCTCGCTTTTTTAGGGAGTTTATCTCCAAGGATCTGTCCGTGTGGTGACGGATTAAAAATAGAGTGTCACCTATTCATCCTGTGGGTGTCGTAAGAGCCGACTAAGGGAGAAAACTACGCAGAACAACAGCGGTAGAAGTAAAACTTGACACAAACCTTATACCAACCCGTCTGGCCAGCGTGGCATAGTAGGCCAAAACCTCCTTTCTAAGGAGAGGCCTATGTCCAGCAGTGGACTATTAAAAGCTGTTGATGTTATGTGATGTGACCTCCAATGAATTCGTTTCTTTACTATATTTTATAATACTTTTGTATGACACGTCACGGCGTAAGTAGGCGTGGACATATTTTAGAAATGTTATGCCGATATAATTCGGAAGTGAAAAGAAAATACAGCTCTGTTTTCTTTTCTGAGTTATTTCTCATATCTCAATGCTTGTTTATTTACATTATAACGAGAAATAAAACAGACAGTGCATTACATTTCTTGGTATTTATTGCTTTATTCACGTCAGATCACAGAACTGAGAATACGTCAAGCATTTTAATCTAAAACATTTATTTTCGCTTGAACTTTGATAAATGTGAAATGATGTTAAACGTGTAGGTAATGTACTTGGGGTATCGGCATTTACTTAAGTAGATATTATTAAACCTTGGCCTGAAAAATACAAGCTCAATAAAGTAATATAGAGGCAAGCCATTTCTTTTGATAACGAAAAGAGAGAATTACAACAAAACACCTACATTCTTGTACAAGTAGTTTTTAATATTTATTTAGATATCAAAATTCGCACACTGTGGTGCTTCAAACTACTCTTTTGTTATGTGTGTATATCTGATAAAACAACACACAAACTGTCTCTGATATCAATGATGTTCAAATAAATAAAAAAGTTGAAAATACTATTTACTTGAGTCAGTTTTTCGAAAAAGGGGGTGTTATTTGAAAGGCAGACAGTGGACGGGTTACGCGACATCACAACCTACTTAAATCGTCTGTGGTCTGTCCCAACCTTAAAGGTCGAGTCTGTTTTGATAACGACTGTTGCCGGATATCTCCTTCTTTAGGCGCAGTATGGCACTTCGTAGTGTATTAGTTGGTTCGATTCCAACACACCGCCCCACTGAAAACCCCTTGTGTTTTGTGAGTTAAAAGGCCACTAGCTAAACTAACATTTCCAGATGTAATTTACTATTCAGGACTAGCACGTGCCACATTGCCATTCTAGGACACTGGCATTATCTATACAAATAAATAAAATTGTAGTGTCTGTTTGTAATATTAAAATAACCGCTTTTTACTAAATTCATATGTATGTTTGATTTGGTCTGGGTGTTTCTATGTATAATAAGTATGTATTTACAAAAAAAAAAGTATATATGTATTGATATCAGTTGTCTAGTACCCATAGTACAAGCTCTGCTTAGTTTGGGACTAGATGGCGTTGTGTGAATGTGGTACAATATTATTATTATATTATTATGTTTACACGGTACATATGCCAAAATAACATTTTTTACCATTTTTGTCTGTCTGTCTGTTTGTTCCTGGTAATCTCTAGAACCGCTGGACCGATATCGACGGGACTTTCATTGGCAGATAGCTGATGACATAAGGAGTAACTTAGGCTACTTTTTGACGTTGACAACGTCTTATAATTCGATGGAGCCGGCTGCACGCACGAAAAAACATGACTCATGCGGCGTTACCTCGCTCTGAGGCGTTCCATTTAAGGCGTGAAGTGCAAGCGAAAGCGCGGAACGAATGACAAAGAGGCACAATCGGCCTCCGCGTTCGGCAGCGTTCGACATCTGTCTCTCTCCTACTTGAGTGAGCGATGCGTCCGCGTGGACAGCTGCTACTCGTATACAATAATACATTTTTGAAAAATGCAACCATTCCATCAGTATTTTCTTATGACGTTGTCACGTTCAACTATCGTCAGTAAACCGACTTTACAGACAACCGATTTTTTTTAGACTAGCTTCGCCCCGCGGCGTTGCCCGCGGTTATAAGAACAAACGCGGGTAACACCGCGGGTCTCAGCTAGTAAATAATAATATTTGTATTATAAATGTAAATGTTACGTCCCGACCTGGGTTATCCAATTATATGTACATGTAAACTAAATATATATTTATTTTCCTGTAATAAACCACAACGCTTATTAATAACAAGAAATAAAGTTTTAACTTATAAAACCCTCATGTATTATAGGGCTTAAATAAGTGAATAAGTGATCTGCTGCAACCCATTCCTAAAGTTAAAAAAAAAAACAAACCTTTAGGGAGCGAGAAGTGGAAAAAGTCATAGAGAAATTGAAGTGTTAGTGATGGTGATAGCGGTTGGAACTAACCTCATCAAAATTGTCCACCATGAAGCAAATGTGTGGATACGTCATCTCTTCACCCTCGCCCTTGGTGTCCATCTTGCGGCGGCTGGGGGACGCGTACACCTGTGACAACATTATACTTTAAAATCTTTAATAATATATATTTTAACTTTCAAGAAACTGCTTATATATGTTAAGCGAAGTTTTGAATTACATTAGGTTAAAGGGGTAGTACGGTACGAGATAGGACCAGGGGTGCCCCTTTCAAATTCCAGAAGATCACTGTTAACCAGCGGCCAAAGTAGCATAGATAGATAACTGTTACTAATGATAAACTGTTACGATTTAAAAGATATTGAGAGCTGATTGGTAAATCAGCAATCATAAAAACTGGATGATACCCTTAATAAAAAAAACATTCTTTATTATATTCCTGGCCATATGATTGCAGACATTGTATGATGATCATACGAAGTATAAACCGAACAATGAACAGTGAAGCTAACAGTTTTTAAAATTTTCTTTTTTTAATAAGATTTTGTCCATTGATTTATTTTGTAGAAAAGATTTATTGTATTTCCACTATGTCTTTATAATTTTAAACAGTAACTATTATAACATATTTTAACTGCCCTTTTCTCATGTTTTTATTTGGGGTCGCCGCAATGGGTAACATTATAATAGTCTGTGGTCGCCTGCCTACCGGCAACCGTTATTGGGATCGTAATTGTTTTCAAAGGGGACAAAGAATACGAGGGAGCTAGGGAAAGGGATGCAAGGAGTCTCAGATTGTACACGGGAATGAGCAGCTGTTATTCGGTACCGTATTTTGTAGACCACTAGAAGAGGGATATATAAGAATCCATGCACAATAGTAACTGAGTATGCTTCTAATAAAACTGAGGAGTATTTATTTGAGTTGAATGCTTATTAATCCAATAATCTTTTGGACTACAAGTCGATTTTAAATAAATTATTTTTGTCAATAGCCTATTTAGGAAGGTTATAGTGACGCTTAGCAAGCAAGCAATACCATAGAGCCTACAAAGAACTACAAATAATGAAAGTGGGTAGTTTACATAGGAATTATAAATACTACATCTGAGTTTATTGCAATACACTTTAGTATAAAACTATGAGTTAGTATAGATTGTGACGTGACGTAAAACGTGTACTTTATGTACTCAGTTTAGGTAGTCTAGTCACTGTGCCGAATGTGGGCGACAGGACAGCTTGCTTATACTCGTATCATGTTATTTCTAATCTATACTAATGTTTTATCTGTTAAACTTTGGATGGACGGATGGATGGATGTTTTTACTCAGCCACGCCAGAACGGGCCAACGCAATTGGATGAAATTTGGTTATTGTCTAAAATAGGCTGCTATTTATCCCGGAAAAATTGATTGACAAAGTCGACATTCATGCAAATCTGCGGGCATCTGAACTGAACTCGAATCTAAACCTTAAAATATTTTATGGCTAACATGCCTACAATACAGACTGTGATAAGAATGATTCCAATATCAATTCCAGTATCAAGCCGGATATTATTAAATAAGTAGTAAATTTACTTATCGTATTGATTAAAGATATGTATTATATTTCTTATAAATATTCTTATCTATACATAAGAAAAAGTAAAAAGTGTGAAAAAGAACGAAGAGTAGAAGTAAAACGAAGTGACTATGAAAATATTTTTTTCATCGTTTTGTCTTTCTGTCGGTATCTAACTCAACAGTGGACACAATAGCACTCGGTTAGGGAACCACTACGCCATTCAGACGCCATCAATTAAATTTGGTATGCTTAATAAACTCAATTACAGACCCGTATAACACGAGTGGCCCTTTGTCCACTCAATAAGGCGAACGTATGTAATCAATAGCTATATTAAATTCTTAGTTATACAGGGCAAATAGTTTTAATCGAGTAGTTTGGAACCCGACTGGGGAACTTAATTAGGAAGGCGAAGCGACATTCCAAGTTGGTGTAAGACCCTGCACTGCCTACATCATGATTCGCCTGTTGGTCTAGTTATTTAGTAGTTAGTGATCCATTCTGCTAACTCCGAGGTCTTGGGTTAGATTTCAGCACAGGACAAAATAGTGTGTGATGAGCATGGTCATTTGTTGTCTCTGGGTGTATTTTGTCTATAATATACTAACTGTAGGTTGGTTTGGTTAGATAAAAGCAATCTTCGAAGCGGGTTTTTATATCGTGTCAAAATTTGAGCTCAATCCGGTTCAAAACTTTTTTGAGTTTTTGAATCGTAAACAAAACCAACTATCATTTAATAGGTGTATTTAGAAATATGTAGCCAGCTTTAGTACATGCTCTGCAGCTTTAGTTTGGAATCGGACGGCCGTGTGTGAGATGTTCATACACAGTAGCTCGAATTGGACCTGCCTAATTTGTGAAGTTATTATCACACATCAACAGCCTTTAACAGTCCACTGCTGGACATAGGCCTCTCCTTAGTAAGGAGGTTTTGACCTACTATACCACGCTGGCCAGACGGGTTGGTATAGGGTTTGTGTCAAGTTATCCTTCTCTCTCCAGTGCTAATGTCCTGCGTAGTTTGCTCCCTTGGTCGCCTCTTACGACAACGGGATGAATAGGGGTGGTGACACTCTGTATTCCTAATCCGTCACCACACAGATTTGTGAAGTAATAGTACAGAATACAGCGGTGTATTACGTGACTTATTATCTGCTCGAAAGACAAGAGATGAACGTAAGATTAATGTAAGATGGTTAAGCACAAGTCACACTATTAGTGATGTAGGTAGCGGTACCCTACGCAAGCTGTGTGTTTATTTGCCACTAGTATCTTGAACAACCATATCCCTTACGGAATTCCTTTATTTTGCTAGATTTTGACCTACCAATGTTCTACATGACTATTTGGTTAATGGTATTTACTTATCTTTTGTCATTAAACTTTAAAACGCGTCGTTAACACACTAAGTTTGTGAAGTTTTTTTTTTATTAGCAATACTAATTAAGCGCCTGATTACCGTTAAATAACTTTAATCATTATTACCCATTAAACAATAGTTAATAAAACCATTGGGTAGGGTTGTCAGACCACAGCAACACAATAGGGTTGCTAGGCGTTTCCACACGGAAAAATTTCTGCCCGGAAAAAAAAAAGTGTTGCTAGGCGATGATAATAATTACTTTTTACCCTTTAGAGTCTAAAGGCTTAAGATTTGAGCATCGTTAATTTATTTAACGTCTAAAGTTTAGACGTTAACTAAATTAACGATGCTCAAATCTTCGTAAAATAAAAGAATTAAAAAATTCCTCTTCGTTTTTATCAAATTTTTACCAATCTCTGGTTAAAATTTTCTGTTTAACATTCATACGGTATCTTCCATTGTATATGGTTCCTATGATATCTACACAAGCCTTAGTCTTTGTCTGTTCCCCTTATCACTTATCGCTAAAATAACTATTTTTTCAAATTGAACAAGATAGAGAATAGATTTATAACTTTTATGCGATAATATACGATTAGATAAAATACGTACATTATATTGTAAATAGTCAGTATTGTTTTTTTGGTACGTTGAAATAGAGGCCACTTTGAGGTTTCCTTCACTATTTGGCACATTCCATGTTAATCTGACTGTCATCAGGGTACCTATTTGGTATTCCAAGATCAAGAAGGTCAATCAACCCAAGACGATAAAAGGAGGAAGGTAAATTGAGTCCCATTTCCATTGTCCCATTCGAGTCTGAAAACGTTTACACTCCAGACAAGCAGCCGGCCATTAAAGAAAACTGATACAACCGTTTATTTTTCAACGACGCTATCATGAGGTGGGGATATAGGGGGGGTTGGGCTCCGGAAACCTCACTCACTCGGTGAAATGCAACAGAGAAATTGCTTTACGACCGGTTTTCGATGAGGTCGTGGTATCGCACCGGTCGAGGGGGCCCGAAGCATGGCTCTCCCACGTTAAATATCACACCGTCATGTATCATATCCGTTTGCAATATCACACACATTACATCCATCCAAAATAAAACTGGAAATAGATCAGGAAGAAGATGAATATTTCTAGGACTCATAATATGTATCCTTTCTAAGGCCTATGTCCAGCAGTGGACTATTAAAGGCTGTTGATCATGATGATGACTCATAATGTACTAGGTAGCAATTTAAATTTAGAATCACTAGCATATTGCCCCAATATCCCATAAGACTACAAGAACCAGTTGCACTCGGGAAAAAAAACATAACTGAGTATAGACAGCCGAACTACTAAAGTACATAAACCCACGCCTCACAGATACCTTGAACATACCATACTAAACTCATTAGTATTACGCCACCGATGTATAGCCATGAACTTACACAAAACCGGACTACCTATATCAACGGAAAAGTTGTATACGACTTTAAACATGTTTCTTACATTTAACAAACATTTCATTAACGGTTTTGGGACTGAATATACGCTGTCAAGTAGGCGGCTATACATTGATATGTTCTAAAATATTCTATTACAAATTATGTCGCTTGAATCTGTGCCAAAAAGGTTAGTGCTCGATCGCTAATATTTAGCTGATCTTAGAAACTACTCGTTGGGAACTTTTTCAATCATAGAATCCCTTGATATGCATGCACGAGGACTGTTAAATGTATACATAAGGTCGTAAATGTTTCATTCACGGGCTCATGGCCCGAGAGCGGTAGCGCGGGTGACCGCGGCCCGTCGCGTCGGCGTCAGATCGTTCCGCGCATATCGTACTGAGTGCACCCGTACCGAGCGCCCTGAACGTCTCGCTGTGACGTCACCGCGCGCGTAAATTACTTCCATTGAGCCGAACGTGCGCGAGCTTTGCCGACTGAGCCCGATCTCCATCGGACCGAAGCCAACCAGTCCTACATTTTCTAGTACGCGGTCGCCACTCTGCACGCTTGCTCGCAGCGACATTATCAATAGTGAATAAAATATTTTTTGTATTATCTTCAGGTTATCGTGTGGTGTAGTGATTATCGATGTGAGCAGAAGCTCGTCAATACGACGTACAAAACGAGCGTCCCCCTGTGAGTGTGATTCCGTTAGTCATGCATTGATGTGTACGCATATTGTTTTCGATTTCGACCTCGTTTACGTGCCTGTGCCTTGACTGGATGCAAGCCTGGATTTCCGGCTTTCTATTTAGTGTGTTTATGTACCGGGACATCGTATACCATGAGTCCGTACTTTGCCGCTAAATGACCCGCTCTTACATTGATCGGGTAAGTCGGAATAAGGTGCGGAATTCTTTTGCTAAAAATGATTTTTACGCGCAACGAAAACAACTCCCGGGAGGCGAAGCGAAAGAGAAATCTTTCGTCAGAGACGATCTATAATTATCTCGCGGTTGTAGTGCAAATTGCAATGTTTTTGTGGCGCGAGGGGCGTACCGCTCCTCCGCCGTGGCCTCGGTGCACAACAAACAGGCGACTAAGCTAATTACTGTCATCTGACAATACTGCGAGGGGGTGAGGTAAGCCGGTGCCGGCTCGCCGCCGCCGCTCGCCTCCATGCCGAGCAATGATATCCCTCGGTCTTTGAACCGTGCCTCCGCTGCCATTGTAACTTGTTTATAATGTATTCTAGAATACATCATATTTATACAAACATACAACAACAACATCAAAGTTTAAACAAGATTAATTGTTATTTACCAAACAGCCTCCAACGGAAAGGTGCGGTGTCGCCCATAACAATGTAATATACTTTATATTTGTCGTCTACTTACTTGACTAAAACAGCGTTTTACAAGTTCTAAATCAGGACTATTTCTCAGTATCAATCTTTTGGCGACTTATAAATACCTACATGTTATTGTATTTATCCTGAACTGCTATTTATAAAATGAAATAGAAGCCGTTAAATTTATTAACCTATAATCCACTGTGAATACATACACAATAAAAACAATGGATAATAACAATGAATGTATCAGCTACATATTATAAGATTAGGCAAATGTGGTGCTTGGTTCCTTAATATCAAAATAGGTCCAAGTGAGTGTATTTAGAAACTAACCTATAACTTAATGGTTCAAACTCAACTAATTGTAACGTAAAAATCAAAAGTGACGTAATAACAAATGGGTGGCGAACAAATACAGTGTTATTTTGTATTATCTTGATAGGGAATGGAATTTTGTTTTTGATAAAGCAGTCAATAATTTATCTGCAAGTACACGCAATTCATGTGATACGAGATAGTTTATAGCTATAAAGTCAAATCAATTACTACAAGTTACGTTACCTCAATTAACATGATACTTGTATCATTTCAGGTTCGATCCAGACGAATGGTGATTGGATGACGATTTCGGTGCGTTCTCCAGACAAGGAGCCCACGCCGCCCAAGCAGATCAACTTCGCTGAGCCGCTGGTCGAGTCGGTCCGTGTTTACCTTGCCAATGAGCTGCCATCCAAGCAGCTAGCACTAGTGCCACGCGCGTCTGAGTCCCCAGAACCGGCTACCTCGCCACCTGCGACTCCAGTCTGTGATGTGGACATAGCGACACATACTGCTCACGAAGAAATCAAAGGTATCAACTTTGAAGCTCGACTCAAGCGTAATGACCTAAACAACAACTCGTCGCGCAACCAAAACGAAAGCCAACAGAACGGCGCCATGCCCAGCCAGGCAGAGTTGATGCAGCGCCAACCATTGCTGGCGCGCACCGCCAAAGCGGACGCGCCGCAGCCAACCACCGATGAGTCGGACCCCGACCAAGACCACTCACCACAACGAATGCACGCAGGAGAATTCATAGTTGAAATCCCAGCAGGTGCCGTGAGGGAGGAAAGATATCCCAAAGAAATATGGAAAACGATATTATCATTTTTCTTCTTATTCATATGTGTGTGTATAAACATGATGTCGCTGTCCTTAGTTCACGAACGACTACCGGACAGAAATACAACACCGCCACTTAACGACATAGTATTAGATAATGTGGAGGCACAGGATTGGGGACTCGCTGTGTCCGAGTACATGATAATGATATCGACCACCGTCGCAATGATAGTAGTCGTCTTCCACAAGCATCGCTTCATCGTCGCACGAAGACTGTTCATCATAATCGGCCTACTGTATTTGTACCGGTCTGTCACCATGTTCGTGACTGTCCTTCCGGTTTCAAGCAAAACGTATTACTGTAGCCCGAAGAGTAACACAACTTCACCCCTTCTGGTTCTCAAACGAACATTTTACTTAATATCCGGATTCGGTTTGTCTATAAACGGCAAACACACTTACTGCGGAGACTTCATATACTCCGGCCACACGATGGTTCTAGTGCTGAGTTACTTGATAGTGGCGGAGTACTCACCGAAGAAGCTGTGGCCGATGCACTGGGCGCTGTGGGGCTCGGCGCTGCTGGGCGTGTCGTTCGTGCTGCTGTCGCACGGGCACTACACGGTGGACGTGGTGATCGCGTACTACGTGACGACGCGGCTGTTCTGGACGTACCACTCGCTGCTGGTGACGCCGCACCGCGCCGGCAACGGCTACAACCACTACATGATCCAGCGCGAGTGGTGGTACTGGCTGTTCACGTACCTGGAGCGCAACGTGCGCGGGCCGGTGCCGCGGCGCTACGACTGGCCGCTGCCGTGGCCCCGCACCAAGCTGTTCAGCCGCCTCAGCTAGTGACGCGCTCGCGCGACGCTGCCGCCGCCGGAACGCGTATGACGCTCACCTTTTGCGAGTGCCGCTTGAGGACCTGCAGCTCCTTGGGACTGGTCCGCGTGCAGATGGCCAGCGTTAGCGTGTAGTCGAACTGATGCACGATCAGATTGAGGTAAACGGTCTCCTCCCAGTCGATCTCCGGGTCTCCGATGGGTAACTTCTTGGAGTCCTTGCGGAACACCTCGACATCGGTCTGTGAACAACGCGGCGATTAGTGGTGGGGGTCGCCGAGGGGAGGCGGTGTTTGGCTGTGCTTGACTATCACACAATACTATTGAGCGACTGCTGCGTGTCAAATGTGATAATTCGCAAAGTGAGCATATTATGTTTATTTCGTCACAATCTCTAATAATAGACTGTTCCGTAGATAGTGACAACCTCGTATGCTTTTATTGTTGAATATAATTAAGTAAGTTTTGATAAATTGGACAAAAACAATAATCGATGAATTATGTACAGTCGACTGTTGATAGAATTTTTGTTTTTTGTATATTGTATAGTTCGTAAGTGGTTATTGAACAATCTCCAATCAAATTATAAAAGTCACATTAAGTATTTATTATAGAAACAATATACTGTGATTGTTGTATGTCGCGAGTCGAGAATGAGTGTGCACGTTGGGTGGGGGGCGGCGGGAGAGTGACGGCCTGGTTCTGCCTTGTGTACATACATAACAGATAATATTTTTATATTGTTTAAAATAAAGTACATACTTAAATTGTTTTTATTGCATATGTTTTTCTAAACACCGGAAACTTCTTTAGCGAATAGAACATAATAATAGTGCTAAATTAGAAATCGAACAGCATACAGATATATGAGCGCTAAGAGTAAAATACGGACAGGTTATACATACATTCCACGAGTCGTAAATGCATAATATATTCAATTATTAAAAATGAGGCTAGTTCGTTCTTTTAAAAGCGATTATTGTCACGAACAAATTCAGAATTGGGACAACTAGACGAACACAATAGTCAGTCCGTGTATGCATTGAGTTCAGTATTATAAAGAAAACTAGTGTTTGCGTGTAATTTGAATTAAGCAAAAACAGACATTGTGAGAAATTATTAATTTTATACAAGTAACCTCGTAGATTCTTGTAAAAACGTATAAATTTATATTCAAATGAAATGTATAGATCAGTTATCCTTCATAAAAACTATTCTGATTCTAAATAAATTCGAAACGACAAGCATTAAAAAAACTGCGATAATCGCTATTCACTAGCTTCGAACAAAATGGGTAACATTTGTTTTATTTAACATCAATTGGGTTTTGCATTGTAACCTGGGGCGTGACATCGAATATCTCTGGTAGACGGGCTAGAAAGTAGGCGATCAGTGATGTATAGGTTACTGGAGATGTATTCAGTGTGTAGTGAGACTCACCTCATACTTAGGCAGATAACGGGATGAACCCTTCACGTGTCTCTTTCTGACGAAGAACAGCAGGTCGTCGCAATCTATTGAATGTTCCTCTTGAAACAGAAAGTGGCGCACAAACAAATCTGTCCAATAAGTCGTTCCTTGTAGAACTACGAATCCAGACTCTGCAAAGTTAGAATACATTTTAAATTACGATGTACAAATCGAATCATAAATAATGTATTTATTTTGTATTAGACATTGTATGATATATTTGAAATACATGTAGCAACTCTGTTCATCAACCATTACAGTCCACACGTGTATATTGCAAAGTGCCTTCAAATGTTACGGAAATCTTAATGTAGCGTAATGTTTATTAAATGTTGATTTAGATATTATTTAATCGTGTTACGAAATAACTTAATGAGAAAATAAATTACCAGCATCTGCGCATTCTAAAGTTATTATCTGAACGGCTGATCCATTTATAGTAACATAAATATTTATAATGAAATCGTTCGCCATTTTATTTTATATATATACACAAATGCAAATGATCACTGTATATTTATAAGTATAAGATCCAACCATAATATACTTAAGAACCAGATATACTTATGTCTTCTACTTAAATTCGTAATCATAATTTTTCTTTTCCCTTCTCCGCTCAACAACAATCCTCTCATGAATATATATATAAAGAAATAGAGAAATTACTGTAATCATTCCTGATACACTATAATTTTATATGAATACCTACATAACGATATAAATTTCTACTCTCTATACTTCGTGTGCAATATTATAAGAATTGTGTAGCAGGTAACGTGTTCCGAACACACAAATGCAAACAGCTGGCATTGAAGCATCAGTCCCCTACCCATACTACTTACGAAGGGTTCACGAATCAATAACAATATTCTTTTGAATAAAGCGACTTTTGAAAATCAAATTAAAAAAGAAACATTGTCAGTTGTACATTTGGTTTCTGGATCACTTTACATAATATAAAGTACTGCCTAAATGACGCATATTTTTTATATGTTTAGATACAATTATGCTTGTATACAACTTGTATGTTCCCGTTCTGTAACGTGTAAATGAAATGCCACATTGAAAAACTTAAATAGATTTCTAAGTTCATGTGTTAATATATTATGGTTAAAAAAAACTGAAGAGACTCGTGTAAATATAGTATAATCTTGAGTTAATGTATGTCAAATATATCTATTTAACGAGTTATGTAACAAGGAAATGTATTTGCTGTTTAATGATATTGTTGAAGTCACTTGGGAGTTTATTAGTGAGGTCATTCGAGGGTTCAAACAGATGGATGCCACATTCCGAGTTCTTAAAGTGTTCCCTATTTACGAAAAGAAAATAATATATACATAATAATGCACGCTAGAACGTGCAACTATTTGTACCAACGCTGTTGTAATGTAATTAAATGTTTTTTTTTATGAAATTGTGTATGTTTTCCTAATGACCGCTGTATTCGTTCTGTTTGATGATAAAAATTGTCTATCTTATAAATGAACTCTTTGGAAGGTCTAGTGGATAGAGACGTATGCTGTTGGCTCTGGCTCTGGGGTCGTGGTTCGATTCCCACCCAGGATAAATATCAAATCGCAGACAGACAACGGTACTCTTCAAAAAATGACAGCAAATCAACTGCGATTGCTGGTAGGTTTTTAGTGTTCTTTGTTCGTATTGTTAGAAGTCGATTCAACATTTTTTTTAAAAGGATTCATTTTGTGTCTAGGTATGTTTACTTACATTACGGTATTGGATATCTGATATGTTTCTTTTACGGCTACGAAGCTTAATAACATCACAAGTTGATACATTGCTTTAAGGCTCACAATAGGAAGCGATCACTAGGATCTCTCTTTCTCTGTTAATACCAGACTAAAACCAACAGACAGAGACTACCACCAACGCGGGTATATTTTTAAGTAAATATCTATTAATTGACATATCTTATTTTTCTATTGTTTAGTATAATTTTAGAAATTATGGAGACGGTTAATATTAAGTTGATTTTTATTGACGTAGCAAATAAGTACTGATTAAAATGTAACTATACAATATTTTAACGATTAAATGACCGTCACAAAATCTGGAGACATAAAAAATAGTAACCAAACTCTGCATTCCATTACATCCACAAACCATTAATTGTTATAATACTAATTAGCTTTCAGTAAAAAGATATAAAATGGGCAATCATTCTCATTCGATACTTAAGTTATTTGGTTTTATATACATATTTGTTATTTACCAAATCACTTAGAAGGTTTTATGGTGGCTACTAAGGTAGGTCTTTACTCTTAACGAACTAGTGAATATCAAACTTTATGTCTAAAGGTTTATGTATATCTAGAGCTAATGAAAGCTCAACTGTGACTTCTGTAATAGTTTAATATCCGGGGAAATGAGGTCGACACAAATCGTTGGCAAATCTTTTAATTCTTTATGCAAGAAATATTCTTCTTTACGACGTTGTGGCGACTTGCACATACGGTGAAACAAAGAAACATACTAAAGCGCCATCTAACGAGGAAACACTGAACTACGGAGTAACTGATAATCCTGTATAGCGATATTAACAATTCTCTCGCCGATTAGCATATATACTACTTCCCAACATCAACCGTCGGGCCGCGGCCCGCCAGGCATTTTCACCTCGCCTGGTCGGAGGATCCTCCCTTTGTGTTGGAGGGACATGACACCCGTTCCTCCACAACGTTGTACCCAAATGCTCAACTGTCTAATTGTGATCATGGCTGAACTTGCAATACAAATATTTCGTGAAAAGTACCTACATGTTTTTCGTTAGTTATTTATTTGGTTCTTCAACAGTGAGTACATCATTTTACATACGCAATAAATATTTTTTAACACCCAGACCAAATCAAACATTAAAAGTTCATGCTCACAAATGTTTGACTTGAGCGGGAATCGAACCCGCGACCTTTAGAATAGCAGTCCGTTACACAAACCACTACGCCATTCGGTCGATTGGTGCAATGGTGAACTGTGTTCTGATGAGTATTGTGGGATCAAAACTAAATTATTCGACTTCGCTGCCTGCATACCTTCAAGTACGACATCGAGAATACCAAACTGATCCTTGATATTATTTAATTTTGTTGTGTATAAGCCACTACTTAAAATATCAAACAAACACAGCTCAATAAAAAACATTTACAACATCTCTGTACAATATTAATGTAATCACATTTACATACAATTAATTTTATTTTAATTAATTAATTCCATTAATGCAATACATTTAATTCAACCTTGGAGTAGAAGGGCACAGCATATTTCTACTCGAAATGTTCACTTTCAACTCACGTACGAATATTGAGCATTAGGATCTAACTGATCAAGACTAAATTCTAAAAATTTGTTTCATAATGAGATGTCCTAGATAAGAAGTCAAATAGGTAACAGATTATCTACTTTTACCTGCTTTGTTCTGACCCACTGACTCCAAGCATGAGGCACCCCCAAAGAAGACCTTGCTATTTACAAGAAAAGCGATTATATTGCTGATGCCTGCTGTAGGTACGTGACCCAAAAAATATAACTAATATTCAAGTTCATTAGGTGACAGAGAGATTTATCAGACCGTCAAAGGTAGATGGCGTCCACTTAAAAGACAAAAATATATATCAAATCATTACTCTTCACATCATTACTATAATTATTAGCTAATTGTTACGCAAAATTTTAATAGTCAACTAAGAAGAAATTTGAAGTAAAAAAAAACTAAAAAACAACCCCTGTGTGCCAATTTAAAAACTGCAGTAGGATTATTGTCACGCTGCAAAACCATCGGAGCATTAGTTTTATCTATACAAATAAATAAAATTGGGAGTGTCTGTTTGTAATATTAAAATAACCGCTTTTTACTAACTAACTACTTTAAACTAAATATGCCAAAATAACATTTTTTACAATTTTTGTCTGTCTGTCTGTTTGTTCCGGGTAATCTCTGGAACGGCTGGACCGATTTCGACGGGACTTTCACTGGCAGATAGCTGATGACATAAGGAGTAACTTAGGCTACTTTTTTTAGACTAACTTTGCCCTGCGGCTTTGCCCGCGGTTATAACAACAAACGCGAGTAACACCGCGGGTCTCAGCTAGTAGACATATAAAAGCCGAAGGACAGAAGAGGTCCCCTCTTCTGTCCTTCGGCTTCAATTTAAAACTTTATTAGTATGTTATTGTTGATAGGAAGAATTTGAAATTACATCACAGATAAGGGGAAAAAGCAATATTAATGAGATAATGGCCGCCCTGCAGAAAAACGTGTATGAAGCCGTTTGATTTTGGCAATAAGGAAAACCCTGGGGGGTTTGGAATTCCCTAATATCTTTCCCATCATACCACGTACTAAGGAAGTTGGACGTCAACCAGGCGGGCGGTCATAAAAGAACAGCTAAAATCATTTGGTAATGAAATGAAGGAGTGCTTGAAAGAGAATCGAGTGATCAAAGAGAATGAAGGAAAACTCATGGCACCGTACCCAAATAAATTTGGGAAAAGATTAGGAAGATGATGATGATATTATTAAATGGCTCGGACCTTCCAGCAACAGATAGTTCGAGTTATAGGTACGCTATCTTGAAATACTCGAGCTAGTGCTTACGGTCCCCAAATCCCTTCTTATAATTTAGGTACTTAACAATATCAATTTCTCATCATTCTTGACAATCCTTGCAATATCTTCCTCCGAGCCTTTTTCCTCAAACTAGGTTGGGGTCTTAACTCTACTACGATACAACTGAACTTCAATTTTTTACACGGCGTGGCTCAAATTATTTTTTCGGCCATTTCAAAGTTCTGTAGTAAGACTGTTGTCGGACTATTTAGGGCTCCATCTATCCGCAACGATTGCCACAGATGTTCGTTAGGTAACCGGGGCTCCGAGGCACGGAGAGGCTCAATGTGTTAAGAAATGGTCACCCATCCACATAATGACCTGGCTGAGATTACATAACTTTGCAATATGTGGGTAACCACTCAGTTACTATTAAGCCACGAGCCCCTACTCGCAATATACTCCCTATTTTCCCATCTGACTCTTACGGACCATTACATAAGTATGACTAAAGATACAGTCAGCAATGTGGGCTTTTAATATGCCTCCGTCTATCCCTTTGAG